TGTAGATGACAGAATTTTCCACTTTTCAGAGGAATGGTCCATGTGGACCACAGACAAGTGGGTAAGTGTTAACTTGAATTTTAGAGGGCTGGCTTATTATAGGCTTGCCAATGATTTGACCAGAAGATAATTAGGTTCTTATCCCAAAATCAGGCTACAGAATTAGAGAATGTAGAGAGTTCAATATTTCGTACAGACCCTCGGGGTGTGCAAGGACATTCACACTGAGGATAAAGCCAGGCTTTAGAGAGATTTATTAAAATAAAGGAAAAAGTTATCAAAGCTTCAAACCACAATCAAAAAGAAGCAATACGGTTCTATAGGGACTTCTGGTACCATCCCTTACAAAAGCTACTTAGATTTAGCATACTCACACCCTTCTTTGGGGACCTGGTAGTGGGAGACAAAGGACCAGCCTCGTCTATGACATGCCAACTGAGACCGATGGTCCAGGTCCCTCAATCCCAATATGATGGAGATCAGGGTCAAGTGTTGAGTAGCTAAGCTATATTGCAAAAACTGAGCTAATAGCTAAACAAAAGAGAACTTGAAGCTACAAGAAGGTAGCTCCATATGTTGGTTTACCCTCTTATAGGGTCTTGGCACTATCCTGATTATTCATGTCAGTGCCCAACTTTCCATGTCCAATTCTTATTTCCTCACCCACATAAATCATAGGGTACACTTACTCTATAGGCTAGCATATTCTTACATATTAATAACACTCATACATATTAATGCCAATTATCTCATTCTTGAAACCATTACCTTTGCCTGAACCGTTACTTCCATGTTCTTATGATGTACCTTGTGGTTACTGGTATCCAGAATTTTAGTAAACACATTCCGTTCCCCAAAGTCAAAAAGGGTAGGACATTTATCTATGCCAAAGGTTACATCCACTTATGCTAACTTGCTCTAGCTAATCATACAGGATACAAGCCTATAGGTTTTCTGCATTACAGCCAAATATAATGAAGTAACGTCTGCTGAAATTACTCAATACAAAAATATAAGCCAAAATAATAAGCCAATAGAGAAAAACAAATATAATATAGCAAGCTAGTCCCGTGGGTTACAAGCGAGCGTGTGAATTAGGGGTAACTCCTGCAAGCCACAGGCTTCACCCCATCCCTTCTTCATCCAGATTCCTTTATCCAGTGATTCTGCCCAGCACAAACTGATCTGGAATGAGATCTCCCAACTCATGGAGCAATGGAAGGAGTTCCCTTAGAAAAAAGGTTCTCAGGATTCTACTCCACCTATTTGTTGTTCAGAAGTGCACCGAGGGAGTCAAAGCCATCCTTAACCTGAAAAGATTCACCAAGTGGATGAAGAAGACAAAATTCCAGATGGAGATCCTAACTTTGACGGTATCATCCCTATCCCAATGGGAACCTCCTAACTTTAGTGAATCTGGCAGAGGCATATCTCCATATTCACATATGCCCATACCACTACAAGCTTCTGAGGTTTGCTTAACAGCACAGACCACTACCCGTACTGAACTCTCTCATTTGGTCTCTTGTGAGCCGCCACAGTCCTTATAGAGATGCTAGTGGTAATGATAGCTAGAGTCAGGTTGTAGGGTTACCCCTTTTTAGATGATATCCTGATCAGAGCTCTGAGCCAGTCTGCAGTGCACACCACCACGATTAGGATTCTGGATCTCTTGCAAGTACACAACTTTGTAATAAACATCCAGAAAATTTCCTTGAGTCCCTTGACAAGGATATCTTACATACAAGTGGACATAGGCACCTCGTTGGCAAAAATCTATCCATCACTTGAAAGATTCCAGGAGATCCAGGATCTCTACCAGAGTGCATGAGGCTAACCATTGCTCAGTGTTTTCAGCTTCTGGGCCTCCTAATGTGTGCATAAGGATCACTCCATGGGCAAGATCACACATCAGCTGTCTCCAGGTTTTCCTGCTCCCCGGAGCGCATGAAAGATCAGGTGCTGGTCCCTAATCAGGTGCGCGACTCCCTAAAATGGTGGACAGTCCCAGGAAATGTCCACAACACACACACACACACACACACACACACACACACACCACACACCATCCAGACCCTCTGGTTCTCACAAATCAGGACCCCAAACTGCATAAGA